ATGTTCATATTTATGTTATAATTTATGTTTTCATAAGTATAAAATATTAATTTTGTATGATTTTTCAATAATTCATAAAATGAAATAATTTTATTCTTATATAAAAAGATAACTATTATTTATTTCATATTATTATTAAATAATAACTCTATCATCATTTATATTCTCTCTTATTTCTTTATTATTTATATTCTTTTTATTTATATTCTTTATTACATCATTATTATGAATATTATGTTTATTTATTTCTAATATTCTTTCTTTTGTTCATCTCTCTTTCTATTATTATATCTTATTATTCTATTATCATTATATTTTAATTAATTTATTATTTTCTCTTTCATTCTTCATTGAAAAATAAATAATTTCATCATTCTTTATTATGATATTGAACATACTTAACATCATATACATATTAATTCAAAATAGAAATGTAATAATATAGAAATGATATAAATCATGAAGATATTATATTGATATTTAGTAATGTAATTCAACAAATTATTTATTTTATTCAATTATCTATAAAACAAACAGTTCAAAAATTGAGTTATGTACTGTTATTCTTTGTGTCAAAAGTATTTCCAATCAATTATAATAATCTTATTAATGTTATAAAGAATGAAATAAATAAATATAATAAAACAACAATACAAAATGTAATTAATTGAAAATCACAATGAAGGGATGCAATTGTAAATAATGTTTAAAGTGATATTTGATTAACAACTATTGGAATTCTCTAACTGAAAATATTTATGAACAAATAGTTTTTGAATTAAGAAGAATAACATGATATATTTAAAATAATAATAATACAAAGAATGAATTGATTTGATCAATAAGAATATATGGATGACTAGAAAGAAATATTCATTGATATGAACATTTGGTCACGAAATTATGCATTTCATTTGTATTCATCATTATACTATTATATTGATTTGTGATATTGTTAATTATTTCATAATTGTTGTCTAAATGTAATGAATGTATTCATTGTTTGTTTAAAACTTGGTGTTTATGTTTGATAGATCATTGAAATGAATTATCATATTGCAAATTAATTCTTGTTAATTGTTTAAAAGGTAAAAAATAGTAGAAAATATTATTAGATGAAAATATTTGGGATTAAATATGAGAAGAATATATTTGTAAATTATTAGTTATATCTTTCTAATTCGATTTCTGTATTAAATGAATATATCTGTTGATGAAATTGAAATAAAATAAATATAAAATGATAAAAGAAAGAATAAAGAAAATAATAAGAAAATAAATATAATGATTAATGATAAAATTAATGAGTTATTATCATAAATGAAAATTGAAGATGAACATTAAATTCATTATTATTAATTATAAATGTTTAATTTATAATACATATTAAATAGTCATTCTTCATTCTGTATTATTGTGTTGATGTTTAAATTATTCAATTTGTTATTATCAATTCATCATTTCATTGACACTGTTATTTATTA